AATCCAACTCTGGGGAAAAAGAGGAATGGACGTCGTTTTTATAGTGAGGCTAGTCGAGTACAAGGTTAAAGAATGTCATAGTTTTTCAATTGGAATCAAGCGAATTTTTAGGGGTTTATTTTGGACATTTCCCCCCGAAATTCGACATTAACAATGAAATAAAGAAACTATAACTTTCTTCCGTCAGAAATTGAACCGAGGAAGCCACTGAAGACGGTAGCTTTATCGAAGTCGCCGTCTTGGCGAGCTCGTAAGATATTGAACATAATATTGAGCCTAATACGATTAAAAGCGGATTGCTTCACAATCATTTCGGTTTCCAGTCGGAGTTGATTGCATTGTCGTTTAACGTCTCCAAACTTTTGTCCTATATCCCTTTGCTCCTCTCTAATGCATCTCTGATCTTCCCTTATCTTTCCCATATCTGCTTTTATTCGTTGGACTCTCGTTTTCAAACCCTTCATTTTCGGCTTCGAAGATTTCTTCTCCTCCTTGATCATGCTCCGAGCCACCATTGCTATGGACTTGAGTTTGAAGAATCAAAGCTGAAACAGACTGAGATTTAAACCTGGATTGCAATGCCATGAACACTGGGTTTATATAACGAGTTACATTTATGAAAGCCGCGTGTTGAATTTGTAGGAACCAAGCAGCGAAAACGAAGCGAAGCCGGGGAGAAATTTGGAGGAAGAAATGAAGAGGTTTAGCGCAGTCGGGCGGCATCGCATGCTTTTTATGTTGGATCGAACGATTACGTTGGCTTTATTATGACTGAATCAGAGACTGCTGATTGGTTAAAAATAAAAGGGTAAACTTCATTCCTACTACCATTTTTGTTTTGTACTCATCCAACTATTTCTTTTTTAAATTATATTTAATGTTAAGTTTTATTTTCGTCATCTATCGTTAAAAATTAATAAAATTACTAACATCATATCTTTTATTTTTCCAATGATGATATGATATTATCTTATGATGACACATCAACATCATCTTTAATTTTTAACGACGAATGACTAAAATAAAACCATAATAAATATTAGGTATAATTTAAAAAATAGTTGAGTGATCAAATAAAACAAAATTTATAATTATGAATCACCAGGTTGTATTTTTTTAAAATTATACATAACATTTTGTAATGGTTTTATTTTGGTATAATTTAAAAAACGTTAGGTATAAGTCTCCTATGACCATGGTTGAGATCAATGTTGATGCAGCACTTTGCTTTAACTATTCTTATGTCTTTATTTTATAACTATGCCATACTGCACGTCAGATGTACGACTTGTTGATGTTATCACCGGTTACTTTATGAAATTTATCTTTATTAAGGAACATGTATTTTTCAAATTTTAATATTTTATTTTTATATTATCTTTTTATTTGACATAGTAACATAAATTATATGCGACTATCATCTAGATTGTCACCTCAAAAATATTAAAAATTAACCATTTAAATTAATATTTTAAAATATTAAAATTAAATTTAATTATAAAAAACAATTATCAATTTAATAAAAATGGAAATGTATAAACAATTATTAGAGTTGACTTTTGGAATAAAGAATATTTAATAAAATAAAAAGTTATTCACTCCATGAGGCACAAAACCATAAAGAAGGGATGGACCGACTATCAAAATTGATTTGAAAAAGGTCTCTGACAGCCTAAACGATATCGTTTAAGCTACTTAATGAATTTGATAACGCCCAAATTCAAATTATAAAAATTACTTTTCGTTGCTGCAAATGTAAAATAAAAAAAAAAGAACATTGAAAATATATTTACGAACAAAAATGATTACAATGTTACATCTTTTTGGACCATTGAGGGCGGACATTGACATTAACATTGCCATTTAAAAGGGGAAAAAAACTAGAGCTTTCTTTCATCAGAAATGGAACTAAGGAAGCTATTGAGGGCAACATCTATCATCTTTCACCATCTTGGCTGGCTCCTAAGATACTGAACGTTACATCAAGCTGAATCCTATTGGAAGCCGACCGCTCCACAATGAATTGAGTTTCCAAGATGAGTTCTTGGAATTGGCATTTATCATCTTCCAGCCATTCTCCTTTAATCCTCTGCTCCTCTTTTACGCTTCTTTGACTCTTTCCTATATCAACTCTTTTACTCGCGTGACCTTCACTTTGAAACTCTTTACTTTTGGTTTCAAGGCCTTATTCTTCTCCCTGATCATGCCCCGGCACACCATTGTTATCGTCGCGAATTTGAAGAATCAAATTTGAAACAAACTACGATTGAGATATAAACAGATTTTGAGCCTGAAATTCAGAGGAAACAAAAGCCAAAATGCAGAGGGACAGAGTGAAATAGAAGATGGGAAAAGCCTGAGCCTCCCAAACTTCTTATGTCCCTAAGCTTTTTGGTCCTCTCAATATTCAATCCCAACTCTATCACTGATGAACAAAAACTGTGGATCAAAGGAGGAAGAAGCATCGTTTTTTATAACGAGGTTATAGGGCTGCGAGGTTAAAGGATCGCGTGATTTTTCAACTGAGATGGAACACTCTTTTAGGGATTTATTTTGGTATTGTATGACTAAATCAAAGATTGGTTATTGTTCGAATTTTAACATCAATTTTCTCACACTGATATGATTAGAATTTCCTATAGTACAACCTTAAATTATGCAGATCAGTTCATATATATAGTTAATCTAAGTTCATTTAGGTCCCTTTATATTTTTAAAAAATAATTTATTGACATTTAAAAATTATATATATTTATTAAATTTAATATATTAGCGTAGCATGTTTAATTTTCATATATTATAAAGTCTATAATATATAAAATAAATGGAAAAAATATAGCATTTTATAAAGTTAAGAAATAGACTAGGTTCAAACTTTGAATATTGAAACTTGAACTAACTCATTTGTTAGACTAACCTTTTCTTTTTTACTTTTAGAGTCAGTGTGATAAACTATAATTGATTTTTTTTTTAAAAAAATTACCAAAATGAATTATATAAAAATTGTTTTACTTAAAATAAATTATATTTTATGTAAAATAATTTCTGAAAACTATTTTAGGTGTTTTGATGATATTGTATAAACCAATTTCCATTTGTTTGATACACTGAAATTAATTATATGGAAAATGATTTATTTAAATTGGATTACTTGAAAATTGATTTATGTAAAATAGATTATTTACGGTATTTAGATAAAGTTATGTAAATCGTTTCTAGTTGATAAATTTTCATATTATAAATATCAAATATAATAAATTATTATTTACCTCAACAAACAACAATAATTCTTTTACCATCAAGGTCACTTGGTTTGTGCAGTATTATATTAATATTAAATATAAAAATAATATTAATCATTATTAATAATTTTATAATATTATTTTATTAAAATAATATTAATTATATTAATATTTTATTATATATTAAATTAAAAAGTATAATATTCATATATTATTATAATAAACTTAGTATATATTAATATAATATTAAAAAGTATAATATTATTAAAATTATATATATATATATATATTAAATATTTTAATAATTAATATTTTCATGGAAATGATACTAAAATATTATATTAACATTAAATAAATAAAATGATATTATTTTGAGTATTTATACTTTCGAGTGTAAAACTAGGAAAATATTTTAAGAAAAATTCAATGATAAAACATTTTACATAAAATATAAAGGAACTAGGAAAATGAAATACATTGAGAAAAACCAATTATAGCTATCAAATACTGGAAAATGTTTTTCGTAAAAAATTTAATTATCAAACACTAAAAAACATTTTCCGGAAATATTTTGGATATATATTTATGTTTGAGTAAAATAAATATTTCCTCACTGAAATTTACTCTCTCTCTTATTTTACTCATTGTACTTTCAATTTTTCTAATTTATTTACTGGATTTTCGAATTGCTCATGTTTTGACAATTCTAAATTATTTTATTATTATTTTCATATGATTTGGAATTTATTTTGATTATTTAATATAAAAATAATTCTAGTAGTATTTATAGGATTCACAGTGGTCGACGATAGGCAGTGATTATTTTAAGTTTTTTTTTAAAAATTTAATAATAATAAAATATTATTTCATTGTTTATTTTAATTTATTTTTATATTATATAATAATAAAAATGTCACATTATATAAAAATAATAAGAAAATAATCTAAAGTGATCAAAACATGAGTAATTCGAAAGTTTAGTAAGTTGGTAAAATTGAAAGTACAGTGAGTAAAATATGATAGAGAGAAAAGTTTAGTGAGGAATTGTATAATTTACCCTTTATGTTTAACCCTCACAAATTACACTCCCAACTTCATGTATTAGGTTAACGATAGATGGGTTCAAGTAGAAGATGAGTTGAGCTACTTTTGTAGCATATAATATACCATAACCACATCATGTTAGAGTATACTAATTAAGGTTTTAAATTGTGATTGTGATTGAATTTTTTCTTTTGTTAGGTTTATCGTAATTGTGGACATAATAGATGTTATTATAGTAATTACAGGTATCGCAATCGTACAATAATATTTCAAACGGTATCATTATCACTATATAATGACTATTATTCTAATATTTTGAGCTAAAAGATCTTGATCATAATTTTTAACTAGAGTCATTTAAATATCTTGCGTATATTTAGGGGGACACGAGACTTTTTTTTTCAGGAATACAAACTTAAAAAGTTATATTATAAAATTTATAAGTTACAAAATTATAAAATTTCAGTGTGTAAAACTAGATCAAAAATTGAAAATACAAAGAAAATACTTGAAAAAGGAAGAGTTGAGGGTTTTGGAAGCAGCATCGTTTAAATACGATCGTAAAAAAAAGCGACTAAGCATGAGGTGAAAGTGAAAGTCACAAGATTGAAGGGAGAGGTGGAAGAGATAATCAAAGAGCAAAAGTAGACAGTAGTATTCAAGTCGATACATCTCGATTAACAAGCACACAATACAAAGATGAAAGAGAATATATAATACAATAACGAATCATGGAATTTACATACGATTAACACCACCACACATTTAGTTCGTTTATTAGTAGTCTTAAAGTCTGATCATAACAACAGAAATTGATCTACAAGATATACTGGCCCTGCATATCAGTACGGAATGAATTGTTGATGTTTAGCTTTTGAAATACTAGGGCAGCTATGGTTCACTTCTGCAGTAATTATTTCTGCCCACAATTTCACTGGAAAAAAAGAACAATTAATATGAGCAACATCGATGCAAAAGTTATCCGTTGAGAATAAAAAAGGAAACAACAGCGTTTACCGGAGGAGTCGAGTTAATTGAGCAGCCTTGCCGAGATCGCCTTGCTCTCTTGCCTTGAGGATACCGAACATCAGGCCAAGTCGGATTTGAGTGTTGGCGGTTTGTTGGATAATTAGGTTAGTTTCATTGCGAAGCTGTTTGTATTCTTCTTCGACCGATTTGAATTTTGCTCGAACTTGACTTTGCCCTTCCTTGATGCTTTGCTGCTCTTGGCTGATCTCTTCCATCTCCACTTTCAACCTTCCAAGTCTCTTCCTCGTATATTTTGCTGAATTGATCTTTCTCTAGTTTCCCACATGATTAAACAAACCCACATTAATACAAACTAATACAACATTTTCTAAATAAAACTAGGGGTGTAATTCGATGAATTGCTTGTGAAACGTTTGATGAATTGTTCGTTTCTATTTCTTTATTCAGCTAAATAAATGAATACGAACAAAAAAAAATTTTGTTCATTTAACAAGCTAATGAACATGAACATAGATGTGTTCGATTTGTTTATGTTTATGAACAAGCATGTTTACCCGGTTTTCTTTTCTTTTATTTCTTTTACTTCTTATATGGGATGAAAAGTTAAAACTAGTGAAATAATTTAATAAATTTTCTTTTGCTAGTAAGTAAAAGGGTAAAAATAGGGTGTACAACAGACATGTTCATGTATAGTGACAGATTTAAAAATATTTTTTAAGGTCGACACATATATATTAGTAATAGAAATTTTTCATATAAGTGCATACAAATAAAATTTCAATGTGAACGCTATCAATAAAATGAACAACTAACTTAAAGAAATTCGATCGCCCACCCTGAACAACACTTGCCTCCACCATTACTTGTGAACGCTAAACGAACATATTCGCGAACGCTAAACGAACCGAACATAAACACCTTAGAAGATATAGAAATAAATATGAACATAACATTATTCGTTTAAGCTCAGTTTATTTACACTCCTAAACAGTGGCAGTTGTATGTACTGTCCATGGTGGACACGTTCCCACCTGGAATCTGAATTTCTTCATATTGGTTGTTCATTTTATTGAAAGTGTCACCTTGAAATTTTATTTGTGTTCATCCTATAGCAAACGTTTTTGTTATTAATACATACATACCTATCCTGCAAAACATTTCTAGTTTAAAATATATAACAAGAGAACATAATAACCAAAGATGTAAAGATAAAAACCAAGGCGACTATAGAGACCCTAATTAGAAGATCATGAAAACCTCTAAATTCGCCTAAACTCATTACCATTTGAAAAGGAAAATAATGGACGCAAGGGAGGGAGGAGGAAACAAATTCGCGAAAAGATAGTTTTCGCTACGTACCTTGGACCTTCTACGCAAAATAAGATGTCGTTTTGGCGGGTCCCTTGAACCCCGAAAACGAGACAATAGAAAAGGACACGTCATATAGTTTCTGGCTTCTTGCAAGGACAGCTGCCAATGGTATAAAATGCAAGCACCACCTCTATATATAGACAGGATTGCGTGGAACTAAGGCAAAGTAGGCGGTATAATTAAACTCAGTTGGCTAACGTGAAGCGTCCACAAGCGCCACCGAGCTAATCGCGCGATCACCCAACGTTTTCAGATTCATAGCCGGGCGTGCTTGTTCACGATCGCGCGCTATTCTTATCTTAAAGAAGATCAACAACCAAGACTTAGATTTCAAATTTGTTTGTCCTAAAGTAACCAAAAAGGAAAATGAATAGTATATTCTCTAATTGTTTAACACGATAATAACATAAACATTTTTTTTAATTTGAACACGAAGTGATGATGCTTTTTCTCAACAGAAATAAAAAGTAAAAAATTCCAGATCATTCTCGTTTACTTTACGAGAAATTCCCTTCTGTTCTTTTTTCCAAGAACCAACAGTTACAGGGTTTTTACCGAATAAAAAATGAAATCTGCATATAATTTCCGCAAGATTAATCTATTAAATGAAGAATCCATCCAAAACGCTGCAGTAAACAAAGACTGGAAGTGTTGATTTAGGAAACCTGGATTCATACATAAGCAAGTTGATGATCGAAATCTGAGCATACATCGGGCTGTCGATAAATTACTCGATATTCCGGTGTCTATGGCCAGGAAAAACAGGGAAGGCATACGGCATCCGATAAGAAACAGAGAGAGGAATAAATTGGAAGAATCAAAAAACTAGGCAAAAGATCAGAAAAAACAAAGAAAAAGATTAATAGAGAAAGAATCCGAACCGCAAGGCACCACCATAAAAACGCCAATAGGAATAGATTAATAGCGTAAAGCTAGTGCCTGGGGGAGACAGAGACTGGAATCTTTGCAACTGCCGCACTTCTACTTATTTGGTCAGTTTTTTCTCCCTTATCGCCAGAAAACCAAAAAAGACAGGAAGGATTAGGTTAATGATTGAAAACTAAAAAACGAACCATATATTGAAAGATTGCCGGAAAAGCTTGATTTATAACAACATTTACAATAACTACGAGTAAAATTAATATAATCATTGAAAAAAAATCAACTTTTTAATAATTATCGTATTTATGAAAAGAATTTTCAAACCTTTTCGTTTACGTTTGTTACGACAATTATTGATTTTTTTTTCAAGGTTCTCAATTAACACATCAATATTTTTCGCAGAGAATGGAATGGTCCATCCAAAATGAGCATAACGTATTAGAGTGGCATTTGCAATAGAATGGAATGGTCTCATCACGTTTAGATAAACCCCTCAATTCAAAACCTCCTATCTCACTCAGGGATGGATCTAGGCGGAGCAATAGAGTGGCCCCTAAAAATCTAAAATTAATATATATTTTAAATTTTTTTTCTATATATTTTTCTTTAAAAATATGTTATTCTTAAAATTTTATAAGTTCAAATTTATCCCTAACTTAAAATCTTGTATCGATCTATGATCTCACTTACAAGCGACAAGCCTCCCTTGCAACCAAACCCCTCGTCTCTTTCCTCCCGTACCAACCACTCCAACCATCACTTTCCTTCAGCTACTTGGGTCGGATTTCTTTAGAGTTTATATTCGGGTAGGGTTCAATTCAGGTTTAAAGAGAAAAATATTTGATCCGAATATTTTTGTAATTTTATCTTATATATTTAGAGATAATTATAATAATATCCTCATATATATTATTTTTTAAAATTAAATCTTGTTTTTTCGGGTTGGGTCGGATTCAGATCGAGTAGAAGTTGTATATGTTTTGGGTCAGGTCGGGTGGAACGAAAACCCGACCCAACCCTTGCCCATCCCAAACAAGGCGCAGGTTCAAAATTTGTCTTCTGCTGCTTGCTTATAGCACAATAATTATTGAAAGACCTATTGGTGGGTAGTTCTGCGGTGCGGCGCCTAAAAACGGTTAATATACGGCGTGACCGGTTAAACAAGTTACCGGTTAAAATTTAGACCGGTTATGTTATATTATTTAACCGGAAATATTATAAAGTACAATAACATATTAGGTAGCGCTTATATAATGTAATAGGTAGCGCTTATATTGACCTATTTTATAAGTAAACCGGATAGCATTGCAAATTTACCTATTACATTATAATATGTTGAAAGTGTCTATACTTTTTTATAAAAAAGATCGATACTTTTTTTAAAGTTATGTAATTTATGTTTCAATTTTTTAATAGTGTTTCATGTTTTCCACCTACAATATTAATTTAATAATTTCATTTGCACAAAAAATTATTTGATTGTTTTGATATTTTATAAAATAATATTTAGAATTTAAATTTAACAATATTAACCAAAGATAATAATAAATATGTAATATATATGTTTATTGTTTTTAATTTAATGATAATATATACCGTAACATAAAAAATAAATCATTAGATACATATAATTACTAAATTGATAACTTAAAACTCACTCAAAAGATAACCTTAAATTAATGTTTTGCACAGTGAAATAAGTATGGACACTTTTATAAAAATGATAGATACTTTATAATATAAGCACTACCTATTACATTATATAAACGCTACCTATTACATTATATAAGTGCTACCTATTACATCATATTTTTACCTATTATATTGAAAGTGTCCATACTTTTTATAAAAATGATCAATACTTTTTTTAAAGTTATGTAATTTATGTTTCAAATTTTTTTAATAGTGTTTCATGTTTTCCACCTACAATATTAATTTAATAATTTCATTTGCACAAAAAATTATTTGATTGTTTTGATATTTTATAAAATAATATTTAGAATTTAAATTTAACAATATTAACCAAAGATAATAATAAATATGTAATATATATGTTTATTGTTTTTAATTTACTAAATTAATATCTTAAAACTCACTCAAAAGATAACCTTAAATTAATGTTTTCCACAGTGAAAAAAGTATGGACACTTTTATAAAAATGATAGATACTTTACAATATAAGCACTACCTATTACATTATATAAGCGCTACCTATTACATCATATTTTTACCTATTATATTGAAAGTGTCTATACTTTTTATAAAAAGGATCGATACTTTTTTTTAAAGTTATGTAATTTATGTTTCAAATTTTTTTAATAGTGTTTCATGTTTTCCACCTACAATATTAATTTAATAATTTCATTTGCACAAAAAATTATTTAATTGTTTTGATATTTTATAAAATAATATTTAGAATTTAAATTTAACAATATTAACCAAAGATAATAATAAATATGTAATATATATGTTTATTGTTTTTAATTTACTAAATTAATATCTTAAAACTCACTCAAAAGATAACCTTAAATTAATGTTTTCCACAGTGAAAAAAGTATGGACACTTTTATAAAAAGGATAGATACTTTACAATATAAGCACTACCTATTACATTATATAAGCGCTACATATTACATCATATTTTTACCTATTATATTAAAAGTGTCCATACTTTTTATAAAAAGGATCGATACTTTTTTTTAAAGTTATGTAATTTATGTTTCAATTTTTTTTAATAGTGTTTCATGTTTTCAACCTACAATATTAATTTAATAATTTCATTTGCACAAAAAATTATTTGATTATTTTGATATTTTATAAAATAATATTTAGAATTTAAATTTAACAATATTAACCAAAGATAATAATAAATATGTAATATATATGTTTATTGTTTTTAATTTACTAAATTAATATCTTAAAACTCACTCAAAAGATAACCTTAAATTAATGTTTTCCACAGTGAAAAAAGTATGGACACTTTTATAAAAAGGATAAATACTTTACAATATAAGCACTACCTATTACATTATATAAGCGCTACCTATTACATCATATTTTTACCTATTATATTGAAAGTGTGCATACTTTTTATAAAAAGGATCGATACTTTTTTTAAAGTTATGTAATTTATGTTTCAATTTTTTTAATAGTGTTTCTTGTTTTCCACCTACAATATTAATTTAATAATTTCATTTGTACAAAAAATTATTTGATTGTTTTGATATTTTATAAAATAATATTTAGAATTTAAATTTAACAATATTAACCAAAGATAATAATAAATATGTAATATATATGTTTATTGTTTTTAATTTACTAAATTAATATCTTAAAACTCACTCAAAAGATAACCTTAAATTAATGTTTTCCACAGTGAAAAAAGTATGGACACTTTTATAAAAAGGATATATACTTTACAATATAAGTACTACCTATTACATTATATAAGCGCTATCTATTACATCATATTTTTACCTATTATATTAAAAGTGTCCATACTTTTTATAAAAAGGATCGATACTTTTTTTAAAGTTATGTAATTTATGTTTCAATTTTTTTAATAGTGTTTCATGTTTTCCACCTACAATATTAATTTAATAATTTCATTTGCACAAAAAATAATTTGATTGTTTTGATATTTTATAACATAATATTTAGAATTTAAATTTAACAATATTAACCAAAGATAATAATAAATATGTAATATATATGTTTATTGTTTTTAATTTAATAAATTAATATCTTAAAACCCACTCAAAAGATAATCTTAAATTAATGTTTTCCACAGTAAAAAAAGTATGGACACTTTTATAAAAATGATAGATACTTTACAATATAAGCACTACCTATTACATTATATAAGCGCTACCTATTACATTATTTTTTTACCTATTATATTGAAAGTTATGTAATTTATGTTTCAATTTTTTTTAATAGTGTTTCATGTTTTCCACCTACAATATTAATTTAATAATTTCATTTGCACAAAAAATTATTTGATTGTTTTGATATTTTATAAAATAATATTTAGAATTTAAATTTAACAATATTAACCAAAGATAATAATAAATATGTAATATATATGTTTATCGTTTTTAATTTAATAATAATGTATATCGTAACGTAAAAAATAAATCATTAGACGCCTATAATTACTAAATTAATATCTTAAAACTCACTCAAAAGATGTACATACCTAAATATGTAGTTATTGTACATACCTAAATTTAATGATAATATATACTTGTTATTGTACATACCTAAATATGTACTGCGAATTTAATGTTGTACCCACCCTTTAACTACCACTACCAATACCACATCCTATTGAAAGCAGCACGACTGAAACATGTTCAAAATGAACCTTTGCTTACATCTCCATCAACTCCTGGACCACTGAACTTGCACAACAAAATTTTTGCCATGGATAATACTGATGTAGACAATGTTAAGCCAACCGAGGAATGCCATGAAGTACATAATGTTGATGAATCTGACAGATTGGTTGGTCAGCTCTTCTGTTCACGTAATTAAGCTTGGTACTTTTACAAGGGATTTGCACGGGAACATGAGTTTAGTGCACGTAAGGGAACAACACGGCTTGACGTGGAAGGGAATGTGAAGACACAAGAATTTTTTTGTTCCAAAGAAGGGTTTCGAGTATCAAAAGTCAATAATGTTGATCGTCAACGTGCTCATACGCCAGTCACAAGAACAGGATGTAAGGCTAGAGTCGTAGTTACAGCAACAAATACAAATGATCAGTGGGTTATAAGTAAGTCTGATCAGAAACATAATCATGCATTGTGCACACCTGCTATGACACCATTTATGCGTTCTAATAGAGCTGTAAGTAAGGCTGATATCGATGAGGCAACAACATTGAAAGAGGTCGGTGTTGGCACGTCACAAGTAATGAACTATTTAACGCAGCAGACAGGGGGCTATCATAATGTTGGATTTACACATAAAGACCTCTACAATGCACTTCAAAGAGGTAAAGCAAAGGAAATCGTCGATGGGGATGTGAATGCGCTTATTGCCTACTTTGATTATAAGAAACATGATGATCCCGAGTTTTTTATGACATACTCGGTAGACGAATCGGGGGCATTGTATAATCTTATATGGTCGGATTCTACATCGAGATC